TGCTAACAGAACAACACTGCTAACAGAACAACACTGCTAACAGAACAGCACTGCTAACAGAACAGCACTGCTAAAAGAACCACACTGCTAACAGAACCACACTGCTAAAAGAACAACACTGCTAACAGAACAACTCTGCTAAAAGAACCATACTGCTAACAGAACCAAACTGCTAACATAACAGCACTGCTAACAGAACCACACTGCTAACAGTACCACTCTGTTAGCAGGACCACACTGCTAAAAGAACCACTCTGCTAACCGTACCATGCTGCTAACAGAACCATGCTGCTAACAGATGTTACATGCTAACAGTACCATGCATTTCTTTTTCACTTCTGGCACCTAATTTTTTGCATTTTTGCTGGATGCTTTGGTATTTCTTGTTGTTGTTTTGTTGGCAAGTTGAGACGGTTCTTCTCGTCCTCAGCATTTCATTACATTGTTGACCTTGTGTTGATTTCCATATGACAAATAAACAATAAACCTAAACCACACAAAACTCTAAAACTTGGTCTCTGCAGAGATGGGCACCTCCCTTCTGCCTTTGCTATTAATTGGCGCATACCTGGCGGCTGCACTGATTGGTGGAGCCCACTCAGTGGGGGTGTGTCTTCAAGATGGGAAACACAAGACCACGCCCAGTCCAGAGGCGCACCTGACAGAGTGCAGGCTGTATGCTGACAGTGAGTGCTTGTCTTCAAACATTGTGTTCAGCAGCGTGTTTATACAGTTGATGGCAGACAAAAATAATGTTCTCCTCTCTGTGCTGATGCAGATAGCTGCTGCTCTGAGGAACACATCCAGGACATCGCTTATGTTCCCTCTGCCAGCAATGAGAATGAACCCTGGGACAAGTGTGGACCTGTGAGCCCCGAGTAAGTCTCACACCTCCCATTAGCAACCCTGTGTTCATTTTTTGCCAACTTCAAATATATATTTTGGTCATTTTGAAGTGGGGTTCTGTGGAATATATATATGTATATATATATATATATATATATATATATATATA